CTGACAATACTTAAAGCCAGTTGTATTTTACACCAATAAGCATATTTGTGACACTAACGGGGTAGAGTGTCTTGCATTAGGCAAAAATTGCCACAATGCATGTTTAAGGACTCCATCCCCACGGTATGTTTCCATGAGAGGAACATTTAAGAAGTTAAATGAGAGTTTTTTTTTTTTTTTATGACCTGCAGCGTTATTGCTGTATCTCTGGCATAAGAACTCTGTGTCTGCAGGGGTGGGGATAATAAGTAATCATAAGGTCCCTTGTGAGTTTCCACCTCATAGAGCAAAATGAAACTACACACACAAATGAAGGAAAAACTAAAAAATGCAAACCTCATTAGTTTAATATACTTTGTTTCAACTGAAGAAGTAGGAACACAACAAAAGCTAGAATACCTGTGGAGATATGCAACCCTAAAATATTCACAAGCTCCTCTGCAGCCTCATGCACTTTGACTCATCTTTCTCTAAATTAGCAATTTACATTTAAAATAGCTGTTTGCAACAAAGAAAAAAAACAGAAAAAAACAAACAAGAAACATCCACAAGAAAAAAAGAAAATAGCAAGTACACAGTAGTTGAAGAAAATACGTTGGTTTCTCTTATGTGTAGCAATATGAAGCTCAGCCGTTTATTATGTCTGAACCAACACACTGTCAACATGTCGGCACCCCTTAAAGAGCTTTAAAAATAAAACCCATAGAGGAGCAGGAAGTTTGGATCTTTTTAGATGAAAGTCTGTGCTTCAAAAGATCTTCCACCTATACAGTGCAAGGATTGTTTTTTAGTGTCATTGCATAAATGCATCACATTTCAACATGTAAAGACAGCTGTCAAAATTTAGCTATAAAGACAAATTATTTATTTTCATTCTCATCAATCACTAACATGACATGTCTGTTTTAGATTAAAGCATAGAGCTTTGCTATAAACACACCACCTAAGCAAAGGGTAAAGTATAGCTGATATGGTTTAGTTGTGAGGAGTTGAAGAAAATTTGTGTAATTTGTTGTAAAGTTGTGCCCTGAGAGTGGAATTAGTTAGCTTTTGATATGCGTCGCTGAAGTATTTCCATCTTGGACTTGAGCATGATATGTGGATTGGCTGCAAACCTTTTATACACTCATAATGCACGATCAGAACTACGGAAATAAACACATAATCTGTCTGTGTTGCAAAAGCATTTTATACCATGTTTGTATTAGGATTTTGTGTGATAGACAAACCTAAACTCCTGACCTGTCTGTAGTTTGTTTCCAGGTAATGGCATGAGGTTTGGAGAGTTTTTCTTACAAATAAAAATTTAAAATCTACATTTTTATTCAGGCCTTCTGAGTTGATACATTGTGAGATATTTTTCATGCAAATTCAACTGAAAGTCTTTGGGTTTGGTCTCTATCGTTACTGCACATTTTTTGTGTCATGGCACAGAAAAGGGGACTCAGTATTCAAGGCAGACAGACAATACAATTACTCAAAAAGTCCATTAAAAGAAATGGACTGCAGTAGCAACGGCTAGTGCATCTAAGACAGGAACCTCTGGAGAAAGGAATCACAGATTAGTGACCACGTAAATCTAGTGGAGGAAGATTATGAACGTGGTTATTTTAGTTAGTCAAAGCCCAGAGAAAGAGGTAGGATCCAGACGGTGGGCTGCCTACAAGATGCATAGGCGCCGCACAGAGTGTCACAGACACTGCAGCCCCGGGGGACGGAAAACAAGCAGGAGATCAGATCCGGGCAGGTGAAGGAGGACAAGATAATCAAGAGGGTGAAGCCAAAGTGTCTGCTCTCAGGATTCAGAACCAGGAGATCAGAAGTTCGAATAGGATCCGAAGGGAAATCCAGGTCGGTGACAGGAAACAGATCCAAGTTCAGTCAACAGGCAGAACTCAGCAGGAGTCCATAGACAGGTCAGGCAAACAGATCATACTGGAACTTGCAGAGAATAATCTGCGCTGATGACTGGAAGCAGGCAGGTAAAAACTGATCAGACAGGAACAGGCGGGCTCGGCGCTGGAGAGGCAGAGCAGGAAATCAGAAACACTAAGGTAATGCTGGACACACTCTCCCGACTGGCTCGAAAGAAACAATCTGACCCTGATGACTGGTTAGAGAGCTGGTTAAATAGAAGCAGGAGCAGATGGATCAGATGAACAGGAATGAGAAACTGAGGGGAGATAGGCAGGTGAACAAAATGAGTAATTAGGCCAGTCATCTACACCAAGATGATGACATTTTGTCCATTTTTATTTGCCTTCACATAACAACTGTATTTATCCAGGTGATCCATTTTAAACAGGCGGAATCAATTAAATAAATGATTAAGAAGACTCTTGAAGTTGCACTAGTTTTTTTGGGAAAAAGGTAGCTGAATTTCAATGCAAGACACCCTGTTCAAACTTTTATTTGTTACATCAAAGTCTTGCATCCTTTTTGTCCCCTTTCCACTATTTTTTGAAAAGGAAAATTAATCGTAATTGGTTGTGAAATAAAGAAATGTTTAAAAGTTCAAGAAGTAGAATTACTTGCACAAGGTGCTGTAATTATCTAATCATACCCTGTAATTAGTTACTTAATAGAGAAGCTACACTGATTCACCCATTTGAGACTGATTCCTCAGTGGCAGTGCTGCTGTTTCCAAGTATGCTTAAGGAAGCATGTTTTATAAGATTTCATTCTGGGTAAATCAAAAATGAACACCAGTCCCTTTAGCTTCAATGATAGCAGGTAAGTTAGGATTTATGGTTGTTTTTCAACAAGAATAACCACTGCATTTAAACGTAACTGAGCTTAAAACTTAACCTTGACATGCAGTTTATTTGCTCTGGATAGTTCTTTAAGCACTTAGACATAAAGCTGACGATAGAAGGGAAATGCTTTAAGAGAATTACAGAATTAGTTCAAAAATGAATAATTGAGATGTATGAAAGAGCACCTGAGTGTGTTGTAACAATGTTGAGTGAGGTGGTTGATCACAGAATCAGAGCAATGAGTCGTGTTGACCAAAGACTGTTAGGAAAAAAAAAATCCAGGGTTTCTTTTAGTCAGCGGAAGTTACTGTGAAAATGTGGCTTTTTATAGCTCAGACTGTCACTCCTGGTTTTGCGCCGACTCTGACTGCCTGTCACTGCGACTCTATGTCATGCGCTTTAGTCTGAACCTAGGTCAGAAAACCAACTGTAGCGTAGCCAAGAATGTCCTTCTTTGCTTCATTCTTTGAGTTCAGTGCAGAACTGCCTAATGTTCTTGACACTCAGATAAACACCTATGAAAAAGCCATAAATGCTGATCATCGCGGTCTTCTTTATGTTTGTTGAAACGGAAACTGTTTGGCATTCAGGGTTTCAAGGATGTCAATCCATGCAGCTGCTTATGAGTGCATTTTTTATTTCTTGTTCCAGATAACAGCTTCAGCATAATGCTTAAAATATGAATGCCAATGTAAAATGTATGAGAGACAAATGAGAAAGGCCAACTAAAGAGGAGGAAGTAGGAAGCAGAGCTGGAGCAAGCATCTTTCCAGATTGGGTTCAGGGATTTCTACTAAATCGCAGTTGATCTGACACATACACACAAACATATAAATACACCCGTTCTAAGCTTTCTCAGCCTTGAATTGACCTATATAGGGTATTTGCCCTGGGATCAGCCACAAACTGTAAAATGTGATGATGCAATAATTCAAAGAGCAAGAAGAGAGATTCTCTATGAATTTCAGTTTGTCTCTTAGAAGTGATTCTATAGTTTTTTAATGGATGGATGTTGAACACGACTCAGCAGCAGACAGAATGACAACCAGTCCTGTAAGACCTGTCAGCCTTGCCAATTTTCCTCCTCCTTTGCTGACCTTGCTTTTTTCTTTTGTCCTTCTGCAGGAGTGAGACTGTGCTGCATCAGTTTTGCTGCCCTGCCCCTGAACATCCAGAGACTGATACCTCTGGTTCATCAAGGTGAGATGAGTTGCCTTTTGGAAACCCTTTTACATATTTTTCTTTCTAAAGTTCAATAATTTTCTTTAAAAAAAGTTTAACTTCTTATATATATATATATATATTTTTTTTTTCTTTTTTTTGTGCTGCAGGTATTGTAACATCACAATGTTCGCAGGTTTGAAGTTGATCAGTCTTCATTTGTAACATTTCAGGCAGAGGAACCTTTTGTTAAATGTGGGTTCTGTCCATAGGAAAATGTATTTCTCATCTGTTGTTTAATCTCATCTCTTGAGATCAATTTAAGCTTCTCATATTTGTATCATTTTGTAATAATTTATTTCTGAATTACTTCTCCCAAGCATCCCTTATGAGCAAGAGATAAGCTATATATTACCAAGAAATAAGGAGGTTGAGTGGAGAAAACCATTTTAGCAATACCGGAGAAGTTAGATAAACAGAGATTTTACTCAGAATAGCATGTCCCTGATCTCAAATAGGTCTTAGTTATTTTGAAGGAGAATTAAATACACTAAAATGAGAAGAATATGATACTTCTTTTCCTTTTGGTAGCCTTTTTTAGCCTAAACTGACAGGCAGTTGGGATGAGTGAGTGAGGAGGAAGACTTGACAGGCCAAGATTTGAACCTCCACACACATAACTGAGACAGGGCTTTAAGGGAAGGATTTTAAATTGAAACAAATTTGTAATAAGGACGCTGTATCTCATCTGTTTTTAAATGAAGGTCAGGAAAAGTGACAGATATGGGGGAATCTTGAGAACTGGCGCAGAGCTCACTGTGACACTTATTTCTGCAGAGAAAAATTTGAGAAGAATGAGAAAACCACTTTGGTCTCGATTGGTGCTCATTTATATAAAGGAGATGTAAATGTTACATAAATAAGATCCTGTCTTTAGTTTTACTCTGCTATGGGTGAAACATTTAAGCTGCATTTGAGCTGAAGAGGTTTAACTTTTTTTGCTCAACCCAAAGTTTGTTATTTTTCATTCCTATTGCTCGTTGTTGTTATTGTCAATGGTAAAAATTAAATGATGCATTCAGCTCACATCACCTTAAGCAGCTACATTACTTACCAGCAAATTGGCACTTAATGCAGTCTGAAAACTAAAATTAAACTCCTTTAGCTTATCTAAGCAACTTCTCTCTTTCTGGCTTATGAACAATGGGACATCTATCTGATTTTTCTCTTTGGTTGGGACTTGGTTGATAGTAAAAGTAAGAGATGCACTGATCCATTTTTTTCTGATCCAATCTAACACCAATACCTGGGCTAATCGTATCAGCTGATATCTGATATTTATCAAATTCAACTGTTAAATAAATTAACAAAATATCTTGCCATGTGAGTGAAGGTCTTAGCCTTGACATGAACATTGTTAAGAAAAGGTAACAAATTAGCACAGACCTAGATGTACCTCGTATTATGTATGAACATATAAGCAGCAAAAGAATGAAACAACAGTTGCATGTAAAAGATGCTGGATATACAATATCAAATCACCAACATCCGATCCAAACAAATAGTAACTTTTAGAGCCGATATCCAATACAGGTATTGGATCAGTGCATGACTAATATAGTATGAGCTTTACTATAGAAACATGAGTGCCTGAGATCATTTCAGAAGCACCAAATGTAGTTTTATAGCAGTTTGATTCATAATGGTTGCAAAAGATCTTTGACAATGAGATATGGGCGACGGTGGCTTTGGATGCAGGAGTTTGCTTGTTGGTTTAAGCCGCGGTTCCGGCTTTCAATGCCGTTGTGTCCAGTGACGCCTGTGTCCCGCATCCTCCTTTTTGTCAATGAGCCCCAGGGCAGCTGTGGCTAAGATGTCACTTGCCACTGTGAATGGGCCAATGATGGAATGTAGTGGAAAGCACTTTGACGAAGTCTCCTAACTTGAAAAAACAAAAAGGGCTATATAAGTACCATTAGTAATTACTATTTCCAGTCTAAGCCTTCAAGAAGCATTTACTCTTTTCCAAGTTACGGTAGTTCGATTTCTATGAAATCCATGCTGCTTTCTCAGACAAGGCTCAGATCTTTGGCTAAACTCAAACAAAATAAAGCAGCAGCTTTCTACAGAAACAAAATTTAAAATGCAAATAAAAAGCAAAAATAAGCAAATTAAAAAACAGAATTTTCAACCTGGAGCTCTGCTGAGGAGACTTAAACGTCAAAGAATGTGTTTTGCAATACACAATAGCAACACAAATGTGGATAATCAGAGTGTAGATTTCTGTTTTAATGGCATCAAACCTGCTGTCACATATACATTCCCATTTTGTTTATAAAATTAGAAAAATATCCAATCCTAAAAGATAACGACAATACTATAACTGTTTCGGTTGTACTGGAGAATATTACCGAATGAAAGAAAAGGATGGGTTTTTCGGCTCTGCCCCTTGTGACATCAACAAGAATGTTTTTTGGAGTTTACATTTTATTTTGGCATTGCAACAGTTTTACAACAAATTAGCATGAAAGTAGAAACTGTGATATTCTACAGATGACAGACTATGTCTTAAGTGACTGATTCAGTTTAGCAGAAAAGTCTGCCTTGCACCCTCAGTGATCCTTTTCAACTTTATCCAGCTGGTGAGTGCGCAGTGCTGAGCTGGTCCATATGTCAGTGTGACGTGGTGTAATTCTGAGGTTAAGTATTGCAGCTAGATGATTAAAATGTGCTGCAACTTACAAAAAAAGCAGCAACAGAGGCGTTGGAATAAAGTGTGAAAGGATATTGCCGATATCAAAGCAACCATGGCAACCCTGAAATGACGCAACAGTTATCTCTACCATAGTAACTGGAAAATCTACGGTAGTTATTTTAACAGCATGTGTCGGAGTGGGCTATGTATGGGAAGAGGGAATGCATAAACATTCACTTTAAGCTTGAATAATTATATTTCTTTTTTAATCCTCCATGCTTTCTTTGTATTTTCCTCTTTTGTATAATCAAATAATGTTTGATTCTTCTCACTAGATTTTTCTAATACTTTTTTTAGGACCATGTCTTCTGCACTCATTGCTTCACAGTAATTTCCACTTCATCCCACCCCATTGAGTTTATTTCTTCTCTTAATACCACCATCTGTCTGTCTGTCTGGAATGACTTAACTCCTACATACACATGGTCCTGATTGGATCGGCAGAGCGGCAGCGGGCGCCCAGCTGAGATGATGAGACCTGGCATGAATGTGCAAAACCAATGCAGCTCATTCCTCCTTACTATCCTCATCATCATCACCTGAAGATGTGTTCTGGTTTGCAACCCTTGACTGTTTCTATAGTTGCTGCACACTCTTAATCCATCAGTGCCCACTTATCTCCTAAGAGAATTGCCTACAGCCTAACCTGCCGTACCCTTCCCTCTTGCCCCAGCCTTTCAGTGTAGGTGTGCCTCCCCCCTCCGGGCTTGCAGGACTTGAAATGATACGATTTGACAAATCGTCTTCTATCTCACCCCTTGACGATGAGTGTGTAGGCATGTGTCTGCTGCTACTGCATATGCTTTGTAAGGGAAAGTGTGCACAGTGGCCTGATCATTACAGAGGCTCTTGCATGGCCAGATGCATTAATAGCTCAGGTCTTGCTTTAAAAACCTCTAATGTATTCTAATGTACTCTAATGTATTCTGATGCAGCACTGGGATATGGCAGTGTTTTAATAGAGTTTTTGATAGAGACAGCCTCTAGGATGCACCAAAACCTGGCCTGCAACTATCCTCTTGTTTCCTCTTTCTGGGTAGTTATCTTCCCTCTCTCCTCTTTCTGGCTTTTTTCCCTGACTCTTTCTCAGAGGACACAGCCACCCCAGCCTCTCTGACCTTGTCTCCAACTTTTATTGAGACGCTGTTATATACTTCATTTCACAGCAATCAGAGGAAACAAAAATGGACTTAAGTGATGCACTCATTATTTAAGCATGAGCTGGCTTTTAATTCTCCCCTGTTGTTTTTTTTTTTAGCTCCGGTTCTGTTCGCGTAAAAATGATCAGAGTAAGCAGTATCCGACCAGCACAAATATTCTGCAAGCGTTCCACACTCATGAGTGCACCTTCAGGGTGTGATCATAAATCTGTCTACTATGGTACTGTTTCTTTGCTGCTGAAAGTTAGTTTTTCAGGCTCCTTCTTTAACTGGGGTAAGAAGTTTGCGAAGATGAAGAGAAGGTTTTATGTATGAGGAAATCTGGATTACTGGAAGGCCTATGGGAATAAGGACGTTTGCTGTGTTATGCCAGGCAAATTACTTAAGCCTTACATGGCTTTCGCAGAATTTTGATAATGCTACCATGTAAAAGAACGTTGTATCATCTGTGTCTGGGATTAATAATGGAGGATTGGACAATGACCTCAGGGAACAGCTTCCTCAACCTTTGACAATGTGAAGTTTTGAGGCGCATATGAGCTTTTGTGAACATTTGTGACGGTGTTCAGCTTCTGGTTTTTAAACCACTGAGACGGTTGATATAAACACCACCTCATACTGCTCAGACATCTGCAGATTTTATCAAGTCATGAGAAAAAAAAAGTAGTTAAGGGATGATCAAAGCATTGTTGTAAAGTGATGGAAAATACTTCATGTAGTTTTTTTTTTATTTTACTCATAAGAATCTGAAAAGTATGGAATCCCTTACAAAGACCATGCTTTCAGCTACAGCTCCAAATCTTTTGAGGTTTGTTTATGCTTTGCAGGGTTCAGTCAGATTGGATTTATGTCTGCATTTTGACTCGACCATTTGTATTTTATTTCATGTGTCCCATCCAGTATTGTAGCAGGAAAATTCATCTTGGTATTTTTACCTGAGTGCAAAAGGAGAAGCTGAACAGATTTGCTGTCAGGAGGGGAGCAGTACGGCTTTTGCTGTAAGGCTCCACTTTATAAATGTTCTGGGATTATTTTCAAAAGCAAAAAAGAGACAGAGATGGAAGTAAAAGGGGAAAAGGGAGAAACAAAAGGAGAAAAGTGGGTTAGACAGTAATAAAGGAGAG